ATTATATTTATTTATTTTATGTTTGCTTGCTGTGTCCTAGCTTCTTGTTTTGTTTTGATATGCCCAAATAGGCTGCTCGTATGAGCTAGTTTGATTATTGGCACCTTTGAAGCTCTAATGTCCTGTCACCAGGTGGTTAGATCTGTAACTAGGTATGTGAGCTCAGGAGTCCACCCACTCCTCCTGTGTGGATTCAGCTCAGGTGCTCAGGTAGATAGCCACCAAGTGTGTGGTGTAGGCTCTCACCTACAGTCATAGAAAGACATGGGTGATTGGTGCAGGCACAGGCATCTAGCTGCAGCAGGGGGACACACTCTGAGCAAGGCAAGGGGCTGACGGCCGCCCCCAAGTGTCCAGGAGGAAGGCGTGTCCTTGTTCCCTAGAGCATGTAGGTGGGTGGGTTTTGCAGCCAGACTATGAGTCCCTAATGCTGTTGGCTGTAATGACTGGGCGGGGCACCTCTTATTCATGGGCCCCATCACAGGTGGTTAGGTGGCGTGGGTGGAGCCACCAGTCCTCAGAGCCCTGATGTGGGTAGGTGAAGACCCTACTTAATGGGCAGAGCAGTGTCAAATGTCAAGAACCTGCCACTTCACAGCTGAAACAGTTGAAGTTAGACTTCCGGTGTATACACTGTTGTACTGCAGTAATGAGGGCCTATGCTGTCGAGATGGGCCCACACAAGTCTTTGTAGGGGGAAAGGCCTTCAAAGTCCGTGGATCCCTCATGCCTGTGCGAAGGCAAAGGAGCTGTGCCTACCCTCGGTTCCTGGCTTAGGGGAGCTGGCAGTTTATTTTTTTCCTCTGTTTGTTAATTTGTTCACTCTCCCAGGCAGAGAGAATGGCTTCGGGCATGTGACAGATCCTACTTCTGGCCCAGGTGACTCGGCAATTGCTGAAGCTGGTCCAGGACCCAGTGCAGAGCAGGGCGTGGGGAGGTAAATGGGAAAGAGGTTTTTCCCTAAGTGGGGTATTTTCGATCCGCATGGTAAGCCGTATGCAAGTACTTATCTTTCGTCAAGGGCTGCTTCTCACTGGTTCTGCGTGGCCAAGTAGACGCTCAGTGGCTGGATCTCTCCTGGTGTGGAATAAGCCTCCCGAGCACCGACGCTTGCCTGCGTCACCGCTCACCCCCAAGCTGATCAGGCCTGAAGGGCTCAGGCTCTCGCCAGGTTAGGTCTGCCAACTCCTCGCTGCCTCCGAACCATCTCTTCCTCCCCCTGCCACTCAGTCCGGTTCCTCAACTCTGCCTTTGATGTTCAGGGCTCCCATATGGCCATATATAATTGAATCACTTGTTTTTTGGGTCTTTGTTATAAGAGGGTCCATCGGAAGCATCTGAATACTCTGCCATCTTGGCCCCACCCTCCAAAATATATATTTTTAAAAGGCCTATTTACAGAGATATGGGAGATGTTAAGGGAACCAGTGAGGTTTAACGAAGCAACCAAGGGACTAACAACATGGGACACCATTTACTAGCCCTAAACGTGAGAGAATAAGAGGAGGGGACAGTGTTACTGGAACCTGAATGAGGTCAGTAGCCATGGGAAAAAGACTAACAGGCACCATGGCAAGTGCCAAAAATTGCAGCCCTGCAGGAAGGAGCAAAGGTAATAAGTTTGCAGACCTCTATTTTCCTGCTCTCTGGTCTCTTGTGAGTACTTCCAATTGGCTGAATCCAACCAAAAATATGAAGGAAAGGAAACCCTGGTGATTCTCTCATAGAAGTTAGCTTCCCAAGGCACAAAGTAGGGCAGAGAATGGACAGTGGGCAGACAAATGAAGGGCAAACAGCACCTCTGCTAACTGCTGCTCATCCTTTAAGATGAAATTCAGACATGACTTCTTTGAGACCTTAGCCTTTCCCCTTTTCTAACTATGCTCTCTGATACAGTTTATCTGGAAGCCCTGTACTTTGGGTAGCAAAGCCTATATATTGTTTCAAAAACAAAAATTCTAAATAGAGTCAGTATACACTTGTTCCTCACTTATCGACTATCTCGTTATCCAACATTTCGCATTTACGACAATAGTAAAAAATCTACTGTCTATTCTGCACATTAACGAGGCGGCGGGCATGGCAGCAATGGCTGGGGAGTGTCCCCTCCCTCGAGGGGGGGTCTCCAGATGCCCTCTGCTCCCTCTTGCTGGTGGGGGGGTGGCGCTGCATCCAGCTGCCACTAGGGGCCAGCCTCTTCTGTGGCCACGACTTCCTGGCATATGAGCAGGCAGCTCTGAGCCAGCGGGCACCTGTTCTGGGTTCCCAGGTCGTATGTGGCTTGAGACCTTGCAGTTCAGAATTGCTGTTTGCTGGGAAGGGAGGAAAGAAAGAGGCATCAGAGAGGGTGTTTGGAAGAAATATGTGCGAGTTTGATGACATCCCAAAGTGAGCCAAACTGGGCCTGAAGCCTCTGCCTCGGTGTGGTTAGGTGTGCAGCCAGGCTCCTAGCACACTGTCAGGGAGCCCCGAGCCTCGATGACTCACCAGGCCTGGAGGGCAGAGCAGGCTCTGGGATCAGGAACACAGGGCTTGCAGGGATGGGAGTGGAGCCCCGAAGGCAGCTCTGCAAGGGAAGCTCTGACCCAGCACAGGAGGAAGGTGAAGTAGTTAGGCGTGGTCTCTCTAGTCACACAGCCCAGCTTTATCCAGCTTTGTCTCCTCCAAGCCTCCTTCTCCACAGAGGAATAATCCATAACTGGACTGTCATAGTGATGAGCACATCAGTAAATCTTAGCTGTTATTATTTCTAAGATCATATTTTCTAAATAAAAAAATCGGACAAATGGATGGTCTCAAAACAGAAAAAGAATCCTCCATTTTTGCAGAACGCCGATTTTTGTATAATGACCTGATCTTTGGAAACTAACCACGTCAACAAGTGTCTTAGTTATCTAGTGCTGCTATAACAGAAATATCACAAGGGAGTGGCTTTAACAAAGAGAAATTTCTTCTCTCACAGTCTAGGAGGCTAGAAGTCTGAATTTAGGGTGACAGTTCCAGGGGAAGGCTTTCTCTCTCTGTTGGCTCTGGGGGAAGGTCCTTGTCATCAATCTTCCCCTGGTCTAGGAGCTTCTCCGGCAGGGACCCCAGGTCCAAAGGACATGCTATTCTCCTGGTTCTTCACTCTTGGTGGTATGAGGGCCACCTGTCTCTCTTTTCACTTCTTTCTTTGATATCTCAAAAGAGACTGACTTAAGACACAACCTAATCTTGTAGATTGAGTTCTGCCTCATTAACATAACTGCTGCTAATCCCACCTCATTAGAGACAGGATTTACAACACATGGGAAAATCACATCAGATCACAAAATGGTGGACAACCACACAATACTGGAAATCATAGCCTAGCCAAGTTGACACATATTTTTGGGGGACACAGTTCAATCCATGACAAGTGAGGAGTGTGTGTACTACTAACCAAAAGGTTGGCAGTTCAAATCCACCCAGCAGTGCTGCAGAAGAAAGTTCTGGTGATCTACATAAGATTACAGCCATTGAAAACCTATGGAACACAGTGTTACTCTGAAGCACATGGGGTCGCCATGAGCAGGAATTGTCTCCACAGCAACAGATTTTTCTGCTTGTTTGTTTATACCACAGTGGTTAAGAAGACTCTGGAATCAGATTGGCAGAGTTCAAGTTTTATCTCTATCACCTATGGAATGTGTGATCAAATTTTCTTCTTTAAAAAATGGGGCTAACAGGACCCACCTACTAGAGTCTTAAGGAGGACTGAGTGAGCTGATCCACCTAAAGCACATACCACACAGTAAAAACTATGTAAGAACATAGTAAGCACTATGCTCACTATATTAGCATCATTATATTATTTTTTAGTTAGAAGCCTTTCCTTTCAGCTTGTAAACTTTCTATTTCTTTCAGTTTCTACAGCATCTCTAAATAAAAAGGCAATGGCTACTCTGACCTATTCTAACTCTTTAGTCATTCATTTGATTTTGTAATTAGCTAATGAAAAGGCCATAAATATCTTCCATCTGTAACTCTCAGAAAAACCTGGACTTAAAACTTCATGACCTTAAACATTCCATGTGTAAAAATAATTTTGTGAAAGATACTGGATTAAGATTTAAAGGGGATTGTAATATAAGCAGTAGTGATACAGTTCCACTGGGGTTTTTACAAGTATAAAAGCGCTAGAATATACTTTATTATACAAGTTTGAAATACTGTTAAATATTTCAGAATTTATCATTGCAAGGTTATAAAATGTAATATATTGGGTTTTTTTTAAGGCAGTATTTCACATAAGGATTGCAAATATCTGGAATAAGACTTTTTCTCTGGGAGTTCTCTCAAACTGACAGTTATTCTCAGTCACCACAAGAGAGTCAAAAGGCTTGGATTCTAGACTCAGCTCTCTGCCACTAACCAGCTCTGGAACCTGGGGTATGCAGTCTCAGCTCTTCAAAATGGCCTACAATTTTCTCACTTTTAAAGTTAAGCGATTAAACAAGATGACCTTTCAAGTACATTCCACCTTAAAACAATATGAACTATGTTATTTTCATCACCTAATTTCCAGGTGTCTGCAAATACTAGCAGGCATATGTTTCAGAAGTTTGTCATTTCATCTTTCCCAACACTCACCTAAGGTTTTAAGGAACACATCTGCCATAATTTCAACGAAGGAAAATTATTTTCAAACACACAAGCAAGTATCTAAGAGTGTTACTTTTTTTTTAAAGTCCAAGTGCATGCAATGGATTATTTAAACGGTCCTCTTCTGTTCATATTTATATCATTCTGTTCATATTTATATCATATACTCACTGGAACAGCTGCCATAAGTGTAGGCTTCAGAACAGTACAATCTCCTTTGCTTCCTTTTTTAATTTTGCTGGACTACATTAAAGAAAAAATAAACACATAGAAACCAACCTTAGCAAAAACATTATCATTCAAGAATGAACAATAATATATTCAGAAATGTACACTAACGTGACCTTTTCCACAAAGACAGAAAATATATATAAGATTTGATCTTCTACTGCTCTGTGAGTTATCTGTTACAACTATTATAATCCACAAGTCAGAAGTGTAGGTGCTTTGGTGGGATATTCTGGTGAATCAACATTCTTACTAATAACATTATCATCAAATATAGCACAGACTACCCATTTCCAATTAAAAAAACAAACCAACCAACCTTGAGTGAGGTAGACTGAACACTAAAACAAAACTGACGATTTTAACTTTCTTTGATTAGCCAAGTATCAGAGATCAGTAAGTAGAAAAACTGATAGTCATCCACTGGAAAAGGTAGATAAAAATAACAATCTACTGTCTATACTGTCATTAGTCTATAAATTCAGATATATCAAATTTCAAGCAACGATCCTCATGGCTTACTCATGGTTAATACAGGAAAGAAAACCAGCTCTTAAGAAGGAGTGTAATCAACCAGAACTGCCAGCTTTGTCACACAAAATATTCTGCTGGTAGAACTAAATTGCTTTTACCCTATACTTTTCTTTACAAGGATATGTAAAGGAGATGAAATAATTACTTGTATTTTATGTATGTGTATGTGCACATCTGCGAATGTAAGCGTACCTAGGCACACACACACCACATTTGGGAGGGCTGCTGTGTAGAAAGACAGGCTCTTATCTCCTTCAAATCGGAGCTACCCTCCAAGTACTGCTGACCAGTTTTTGCTACAGAGACCAGTTCCAGAGTAGCAGTAGCCACAAGGAACCCTTCCTTGTTTTCTTTATTACTCTTACTAATATTTGCAGTTCTTTTGTGTTCTTATTATGATTACAGTCACCATAGTTATAACAACAAATCTGTGTGCTGGCTTCAAATATGGTGGCTCTGGTCTCCCATGTTTTTCTGATTTTCTGTGTGAGGGAGATTCCCGGGTTTTAGATTCCTACTAAAATAGAGATTCCTTATAATAAAGTTAATTAAAAAGGTAGGTGTGACAGGCTTCCAATGTACTACTTAGCCTAGGAGACAGCAAGAATTAAGTCAGACTAGAAATGCAGTGAAAAAAAAGCAGTACTAACTTCAGGCCTCTGAACTTTTCCAAAGGGGAAAAAAAGCATACTCAGAGCTTATTAAAATGTTTTTCACATTTTGATAACACCTCTGAACATAACGAAAACCTACTAGAATGTATCAAAACATAATCATCACAGATTTTCTAAGAAAAAAAATCACAATTCGAATCTTAGTCTTTTCGTAAGTCTACTTTGACTTTACTAGATCAAGTTCTATTCACTTGATAGTTTACTTTTTATTTCCATTATTATTCTACCAGATTTTAAATTTGAACTTTTAGCTGAGTGACATAGTTAAATATAGCAGCACCCCACCTTACAAAAAGGTTGTGTTCCTTAAAGTTCCAAAGTAGCCAGTTGTTTGGAACACAGAACATTTTCTCATAGAAAAGCCACTTCTCAAGGTAGTTGGATTATCCTTAAAAATCCGTTGCCCTCGAGTCGATTCCGACTTCTAGCGACTCTACTGGTTTCCAAGGAGTGGCTGGTGGATTCAAACTGCTGACCTTTTGGTTAGCTGCCTGAGCTCATAATCACTGTGCCACCAGGGCTCCAGATTACCTTCTGGGATTCTGAAAATGTTCTTTTTCCTTTTCTTTTTCTTGTTGTGCTTCAAGTGCAAGTTTACAATTCGAGTTAGTTTCTCATAAAAAATTTATACACACAATGTTATGTGACCCTAGTTGCTCTGCCTGTAATGTGACAGTACACTCCTCCTTTCCACCCCGGATTTCCTGTGTATATTCAACCAGCTCCTGTCCCTTTTTGCCTTCTCGTCTCACCTCTGGACAGGAGCGGCCCATTTAGTCTCATGTATCTACTTGAGCTAAGAAGCACTCTCTTCACGAGTATCATTTTATGTCATATAGTCCAGTCTAATCTTTGTCTAAAGAGTTGGCTTCGGGAATGGTTTCAGTTCTGGGCTAACAGAGTGTCCAGGGACCATGTCTTCTGGGGTCCTTCCAGTTTCAGTTAGACCATTAAGTCTAGTCTTCTTACTAGAATTTGAGTTCTGCACCCCACTTTTATCCTGCTCCGTCAAAGACTCTCTGTTGTGTTCCCTGCCAGGGCAGTCATTGGTGGCAGCCAAGCACGATCTAGTTCTGGTCTCAGGCTGATGGAGTCTCTGGTTTATGCGACCCTTTAGTCTCTTGGGCTAATATTTTCCTTGTGTCTTCGGTGTTCTTCATTCTCCTTTGCTCCATCTTAGATGCAGGTCACTAGCTATTAAGACCCCAGATGCCACTCACCAAAATGGGGTGCAGAACATTTTCTTAATAAACTTCGTTATGCCAAATGACCTAGATGTCCCCTGAAAGCATGGTCCCCAGACCCCCACCCCTGCTACTCTGTCTGTCAAACTGTTTGGTTGTATTCAGGAAATATCTTAGCTTTGGTTTAGGCCAGTTGTGCTGACTTCCCCTGTAGTGTGTGCTGTCCTTCCCTTCACCTAAGGTAATACTTATCTACTATCTAGTTAGTAAGTACCCCTCTCCCTCCCTCCCCACCCTCGTAACCATCAAGAAATGTTTTCTTCTGTGTTTAAACCTTTTCATGAGTTCTTACAATAGTAGTCTCATACAATATTTGCCCTTTTGCGACTAATTTCACTCAGCATAATGTCTTCCAGATTCATCCATGTTATGAGATGTTTTGAACATTCATCAGTGATCTTTATCGTTGAGTAGTATTCCATTCTGTGAATATACAATAGTTTGTTTATTCATTCATCCGCTGATGGGCACCGAGGTTGTTTCCATCATTTTCCTATTGTGAACAGTGCTACAATGAACATGGGTGTGTATATATCTATTCGTGTGACGGCTCTTATTTCTCTAGGATATATTCCAAGGAGTGGGATTGCTGGATGGTATGATACTTCCATTTCTAGCATTTTAAGGAAGTGCCAAATCAATTTCCACAGAGGCTGTACCATTTTACATTTTCACCAGCACTGTATTAAGTGTTCCAGTCTCTCCACAACCTCTCCAACATTCATTATTTTGTGCTTTTTGGATTCATGCAAGCCTTGCTGGGCTGAGATGGTATCTCGTTATAGTTTTCATTTGCATTTCTCTAATGGCTAATGATCATGAGCATTTCCTCATGTGTTTGTTAGCCACCTGACTGTCTTCTTTGGTGAAATGTCTGTTCATATCCCTAGCCCATTTTTTAACTGGGTTGTCTTTTCGTTGTTGAGGTTTTGCAGTACCTTGTAGATTTTAGACATTAGACCCTGATCGGATTTGTTGTAGCCAAAAATTTTTTCCCAGTCTGTAGGTTGTCTTTTTACTCTTTTGGTGAAGTCTTTTGATGAGCATAAGTGTTTGATTTTTAGGAGCTCCCAGT